TTCTCTGCAGCCCAAATTGACAAAAAATGTTCTCAATAATGAGTGTGATAAAACGCGACTATACTTTTGGCAGCGTACAGTTGTCTTTGGAGCAAAATATAGCTGGACACACATTGATCGAAATTCATCCCGTTCACCAAGGACCCTTTGATTGACTTCTGTTGAATGAACTAGTTGGAAAACTTTTCTTGATCAAATTACATTAAATCAGCTCTATATTATTTTACAAAATAATATATTTACATATGTGACTGTTACATTTTTATTGGAGGAAAATTGCTAGGTCTACCTGTACACAGATAAGCAGCTTTAAACATTTGGATTTTGCCACCACATGATCATGCACATCACAAATCTATATGTGGTTTTAAACTGGGGGCCTCCAGCAGTGAGCCAGTGTGAAGTCAAGTAGTATAAATTTAATCATGGCAGGGCCAGGCCTCTCAAATCTTTAAGATGTTTCAGAGTGAACCCGTTCAGTTTGTGTTTGGTGGACCCTCAGATAAAAGGCTTACGTAGGAAATCTAACGCTTTACAATATTTCATGGACAACTAGGCAGGAGAGTGCCAAAGAACATAAAAGATTTTGGGGAGGAGAATCATTTTGAAAGGGTCAGTAAGTCTCATGACAACAATAGCGAGTTTGGACCATTTGCCAATCTTAGTTTTACTTGTAAGCAGCAGTTCAGCATTTCAAATAATCCTGACATTCCCTGGATATAGAGTGGGATATCTAAAGTTGACCATACATGGCTCTAAATTTGGGCAGTTCAGGGACTGGACAAATTTTTGATTCATCTATGGCTATTTCCATTTAAGAAGAGTCAACCTAGTGATCAACTTCTCGAGAACGGAACTGTTGGAAAATTTGTATTCAATCAATGCATGCAGCCAATCAGCTGAAGCACTCATCAGTGCATGGTTGCCAACCATCAGTAAATTTACTGGCAGTTTGTAAAAAATCTGTGATTTTTTTTTTTTACAGCTGTCAGTAGATGTCCATTAGAGAAATTGTATGTCAGTAAAAATCAGTCTTTTTTTCAGGCAAATTAGCGTTGGCTCTGGAAGTGTAAGAAAGAACCCCTTGACAGCTTGATGAAGCACCAGCAGCCAGTTATCGAGGCAGAGTTTGGAATTAGTTGGGGTTATTTTTAAATAGAATCAGGTTGGAGCCTGCGGTGGAAGGATCAAGCTGCTGCATTTTCCAATCCTGCTCTCTAGTTCTGGATATGGTGTGATCTCAACAGTACTCCACCTGTTGCCTCTCTGCATAGATAGGCAATTGAAACCTGGTGCTTGCATGGCAGCAACAGCTCCTGAAGCCTGTGCCTATGGCCCCACGTGCCCCGCAGCTGTAGTTCTCTATCAGGTACTGTCAAGAAGGGAGATTTGGGGGTGGGAATAGAGCACTGTACCGATGGTGGGGGCGATTTGGATAAAAAGGGGGCACCCCTGTACTTTACACTCTGTACGCAATGCAACCCTGAACCCTGCACCCCTTAAGCAACACACACTCCTGGTATTTAACACCCCTTTGAGTCTCTTCCACTGTAGTCCAGAAGGTGATACTGCTGCCTCCTGAATGTGTTTTTCCAGCTCAATGGGAATTTTGCATTGAAATACTGTGTCACAACTGTAAGACAAACATTTGGCTTGTGGCTCCTGCGCAGGCCCATTGAGCTCAGTAGGAATGTTTAATAGGCAATACGCCTATGAAACTTGACATGCTGAGTTAAAATTGCCACACTATGAAGCTAAGCATCAAGGCCACAGCAATGTGTACTCACCCAAGCAGATGCTATGTTCATTTAGAGGTAGGTAGTTAGGGAGCCATTCTGTTAAAGCATTTGCTTTTAGGCCACTCTCACTATTAGAAGCAATCTGGTCATGCCCATTTCTCTCTTTTGTCATGCATAACAGAACTTGTTTTTTCAACTGTATCTCAGCAGGGTGGCTGATATAATTTGTTATGCTGTGTTGACTTTTTAAGTGTAAATCAGGCCAATTACCTGTTATGGCTATTGACAGTGTTTATACCATTGTTTTAGATTCTAATAGTTATGTCATTTTTTCAGGTTGTCAGTAAAAAATGTGCTCTGGCAGTAAATTTTCCATGTTCTGTCAGTAAAAAAAATTTGTGGGAGGTTGGCAACCCTGCATCAGTGTATTCTGGCAGCAGGGAAGTCCAGCGCAGTGGGGAGGATTCCTTCATCCACCTCAATTGTATGGATGTGGAATCCATCTGTTTTTTTGTTGATCAGCTTGGCTGGCTGATCAAAAAAAAATTGTACTAGTCTTGCATAAAAGAAGTGAGGCCTTATTACTAGTAACAAGGAAATAATCAATATGCAAAATATCTGATTTTTGACCAGTAACGGTCAGTCCTGAATACTTTCATAAATTAATAATAACTGTGAAAGCAGTATTAAGGGGAAAATGGTAGTTGTCCATTGCAAAGAATCTCACATCTGTGCACAAGGATTTGGATGCAAAGTTTTGTAGGAGACAAGTGCTGTTGCTTTATCAAACGTGAGATTTCCTTTTCACACTATTTGGAGCATGTCCCTTTCCTCTTTTGTCTTTTTATATGACATATATGACAGGTGTTGCTACCATGTGAAATTATACTAATTGCTTTTTATATAAGTAAGACTTGTGCACATTTAAACGGGTTTTGATCTGATTTTGATTTAAAGAATAGCACAGCACTTGGAGTATACAACATTTTTATGCCTTAAATGTCTACCTACTGTTCCAAAGGCCTGTGACCAATTTTACCAGGGCTTGTTAAAAATGGGGGGTGATTTTATGGCTGTGGATAAAAATGAGGGTGTATTTTTCTGAGCGTGGGTAAACGTGGATGTGATCAATGGGCTGTCTCTGGATTTTATTTTGAAAAATCTGGTAACCTTAAGTCAGCAATATACCTAAAAACAAAAATGTTATGTATTACAGCTTACCAGTTGTCAGATGTGGTGACTGCATTCGTTTTTTTTTTTTAGTTTTTTCTTTATTTTAAATCTGGTAATCAAGGCAGTAACACTCTTCCTGTCTTAAGTCGGCCATACTTAAATAAAAATTCTGCCGTTCAGTAGGGACTGGCCAAATTTCAATCCATGCATGGGAACTGTGGTTGTACAGAAGTCAATCTGCCGATCAGCTTCTGTACAACCACTTTGTTGGATTTTCCCCACTCATTCATCACCACAGGCTATAGCCAGCAGCACTTATAAACAACTACTGAAGAATATAATAAATCAGTGGGACAATTCCCCCATCCATATCAAGTGTGTGGATTGGGGTATCCAGTCAGTGTTTTTTGTTCAACCCACTGGATGAAAAGAAAAATGACTCATGCATGGGCTGCTTAACCCCTTGGCGCCGGCACCTCCCAGCCCTTTAAGGGTTTCAGAAGCCGGAGACGGGGTGGGGTTTAGGGTCATGTGACCACCGTGACACGCTGTCATGGTAGTCACACGACCGGGAAAGGTCCCGACTGAAAGAGGAGATCGGGACCTTTCTGTGAGTACCGGACATGTGTGCTGGGAGCATGCATGCTCTCAGCACATATTTTTTTTTGTAATAGAACACAAATGTGCAGCTGCTCGGCGTCTAGGCCCAGACGCTGGGAGGCCGCACATTTGCTTTCGGCTGGCGCCATGAGGTTAAGGGTGGATCCTCTATCTATGGAGGAGCAACTGAGCCATAATCTGTTAACTGAGGATGCAATGCTCTGCGGGCTACTGAAGCTGGCCATAGATGATTCAGTTCCTTTCATTCAATCAGTGTGTTAAATGGAAAAGACTGATCCAATTCCTCCATCCACACATTTGAGGTGGATGGGGGAATCACTGCTGCTAAGTTACTTTATTCTGAAAGCAGAGAGACATCCCCACCATTGGAATACACTGATCGATCAGCATTTATTCAACATGCTGACTGTACAGAAGTCGATCAATTGATCCACTGTCCCCATATATGGATCGAAATTTCACCAGGCACTGCTGAAGTGGCAAAATTTGATCCATGTATGGCCAGCTTAAGAAAGAAAAAAAAAATTTTTATACTTGGCCTGTAAGATAGTATGAAAAAAGACAATGCACTAAAAATTGTTGAGTAGTTATGGGTAAACTAGTAATGAAATTCCCAAACATCAAAAACATTTTTGGACAATTCCTTGTGCAAGGAGGCCTTCACTCATTCAAGCTAACATTTTATAATCATTCATAAAAACATTTTTTTTCTTTTAAAAAATGTGAACAAAAAAGTAAAATCTGACCATTCTAATCATTCCTGTAAGTGATAAATCGTTTGTCTCAACCCCTTAACTTCACTGTACAGCTTGGTCGGTTAAAGGAAGTTGAAAAATCACAGCAGGATCAACAGGTTAAAAAACTAACTTACAGTGACACAGAAAAACAAAGACTGCTTTGTTAATGTTAGTGGCAGACTACATCACCGAAGTCATATTTTATTTTGCTTTTAGTACCACCTTAAAAAAAAAATACTCCCTGCAAGGTAATGTCATAATGTACTAGTATGCATTGCATATGAAAGACTTACATTAGAACAAAGCCCTCCAGCGGTGCACTGTCATCGCTGACAGTTCTTCTGTCTTCACCCTCTCTTCCTTCTGGGTTTGCGGGCTCTGGCTGCTTGATTGGCGAGCCACAATAACCTCACTCCAGCTCATGTGCACAGGAGTCTCAGCCACGGCACAGAGCTCTGAAGGAACATAGTGGGTATACTTTATTATAAGCTTCACTGTAGGTACAAGTGTCCAGTGGAAGTTCACTCCCACTTTAACTTGATCAGTTTGCTATTTGTAGTGTTGTGACTCTGAGATAAGAGGATAGATTTAATTGTGCTAATAATTAACAAAATAAAGATTCCTTGGTTCAAGATCATGCTCCAACAGCAGTAGCTTAAAGTGAGACTACATTATCACTTAATGCTTTATAATATGTGTCTATTGTAGAATCCTTCGAATTTGAAGTTAACTAATGTGTTAGTAACTCCTTCCATTTTTCTTTGTCTCTGAGGCAGTCTTTCACTTTCTTGTTTCTTAATGTATAAATAAATGGGTTAAGCAATGGGCCCAGAATGGTGCTTACAAAATTAACTGTTTTGTCTGTTTCTACTGAATAGCATTTTGAAGCCCTTACTTCAATGAATATAGCACTACCGAACACTATACAAACCATAGTTAGATGAGAAACACATGTAGAAAAGGTTTTATGATGGCCCTTAGTTGATCGCATTTTTATAACTGTTGATACAATAAAAATATATGAGATTGATGTAATTATTAAAGGTATAATTAGGATAAATACAGAATTGATAATTGTAGCTAGTTTGATCAAGCGGGTGTCTACACAGACCAAGCTCAGCATGGCAGCACTGTCACAAAAGAAATGGTCCAACACATGACCACAAAATGGCACCTTTGACATCATATATGTAGGGTAAAGAAGACATAAAAATGGGATGACACACAACAGCTAACAACTAACTTTATGCATAAACTGTGACTCATAATCGAAGAATACCTGAGCGGGTAACATATAGCAACAAAGCGATCAATGGACATTACACTTAGTATTAGAAAATCAGCGGAGGAAAAGAAATAATAGAAGTATGACTGTGCAATGCATCCGGATTTAGAAATAGTGTGATGATTTGTAATAAAGATGGATAAAAGTTTACAAGTAACCGAAGAAATGCCTACTATTTCCATAAATGACAGGCACACTAGGAAGAAGTACATGGGTGAATGGAGACGATGATCAGCACATATTATGAATATGATTAATATATTTCCAGCTAAAGTGACAAGGTAGATCAAAAACAATACTGTAAATAGATAAGACTGAAATGTATTATTTCCCTTAAATCCCTTTATGAGAAATTCAACTTCTGTGATATTTTATTCTCTCCATTGAGATAAAGAATCAGTTTGTACCATAATGCAAAGCAAACATTTAAGCATAGGTGTGGGAGCTTCCCTTGTTGCCGATCACACTTAAATCAGTAACTGCTCAATACATAATCCCCATTTCTACTGGAATCCTTTGGGAAACAGCCTTCTGTAGAATTAAAAAGTAAGCACTAGAGAATATACTTCCATTACAAAATATTTTCTTTCTACATTCAGGCTAAATGGAACATAGTAATCATAGTAATAATAATAGTAATAATAGTCAACATATTTATAATACAATACTCAAAAACAATAAAATAGTTACTTAAATATTTACAAAAGTATGATTTTTACATATTGAAGAATTCTATATGGAAACCGCCTTAACTTTTGTTTTACAAATAGACACTTTATGCATGACAAATGTATTTCTAGAGCACAATATGTTAGCTAAATAGATAGCCCAGCAGAAGCTGGAGCTGGTTGCTTTGAGGAATATTTTGCTTTATTAGAAGTTGGGACTGAGCCATATAATGAGAGGCACTGTGATAAGTCACTGTAGATGAATGCCTAAGACAACAGTGTTAGTGAGTGACCCATCAAAGTCTCAGTCTCTTTTATTCAAAGAAGCAAACTGAGAGCCTATGAAAAGTGTAGAAAAGCCTAAAACTGTTGTGGTTGTGGAGGTCTATGGGCAAAGGGCTTATTGGAAACTGGAACCCTCCTTTGAGATAAACGGCCCCAGATACCACACACACACCCGTGAATGAGTATGGAGTACATAGAATCCTTACTCATTCACAAATAAAAATACTAAACAGTAAATAATAAAACCATGGGGTTCAGCGAGCGCTTAAGAGAAAAAAGCAGCTAGTACACTAAAAAAGAAACCATATAATCTTCTAGAATAATCATAAAATATGAACTGCAGCGCTGTATAAATCGTATAAATGTAAAACGCCTGAACTTAAAGTGCATATAAATACAAATGGTCAAAATATCAAAATGTCAAAGTAACCAATATTACATATAATAAACTGCCACAATGGTGACAAATGGTGTTCCTATCAAATGTGAGATATTAATTCACAACCGACATACACTACGTTTGTGGTAGACAGCACTGTTAAATGTCCAATAAGTGATGAGGGTGGTAAAAACACAAAAAAATGGTAGACTGAAAAAAGGGTGACTTCTCTAATCCCAGTGACATGTGATCCAGTGTTGCGCAAGAATAACAGATAAATTGCACACTCACCAGAGGCGCAATATAAATGCGCATTTACATCAAATGTACCAGAGCGGTCGGGATCTGCTTAAATACAGCTCTCCTCTGGGCCCTGGGATGGTCACCTGGGGGTCCTAGAGGGTTAAATGCTCGGTGTGGAGCAAAGAAATATAGTACCCATAGTGTAGTAGTTTAATCATAAAATAAAAAAGTGTATTAAAAATTAAAAGTTATGAAGTGAACACACTTAGGTACCGAGGTAGAACAATCCCCATAGGTAAATTGGTGCAATATACAGTATGGTATATGCAGCATCAAGCTGCTCTGTACACTGACGTCATGGCGTGTAGGGGCTCCTCCTTGACACGTTTCGTATCACACGTACATTCTCAAAAGGGGTGTGCGCCATAGCAGCCGGACTTCAAAATAGGTCTATTTATAGTAAGGACACCTGTATCAATTAAGCAGGCGCCATCTTGCTGGTGATCGACACGAAGTGCGCATGCGCGGGAACACGGGCACCATTTTCCCGTGGACCGACGCATGGTCTATGCAAAATGTGCATATGCGGAAACACGGGCACAATTTTCCTGTGGGTTGTTGCATGAACATAACAATAGGGAAAAACCAATGACCCACGTTATGATAAAGGATGGTAATAAATGAATATAGAGCATATGGCGTGCCTGGGCTTCTACCTTAAAAGCCAGTACAAGGGCATACATGTGAAATGTAACAAAATGTGTTCGCATTGTAACTGCGCATGAGCGGATTTCATCTGCGCCATTTTCTTGTAGATCTCCGTGGATGGAGATAATCATATAGCTAGTGAATCTCAAATAAAAAAGGGGGAGGAAAACGGAAAACAATGGCCATATTGAGTTTTAACCAAAATAAATATAATGTTATTTGTGGATAATGAGATCCATATCTAGTAATATTCTCAATGTTGTGTTCCTGAATGTCCTTTTGGAGTGCGCAGACTATACACAATATGCCATATTACCAAAAGCCAAATGTACAGTGGAGCAAAAAAGTATTTAGTCAGCCACCAATTGTGCAAGTTCTCCCACTTAAAAAGATGAGAGAGGCCTGTAATTGGCATCAGGTAGAGAGACAAAATGAGAAAAAAAATCCAGACAATCACATTGGCTGATTTGGAAAGAATTTATTTGTAAATTATGGTGGAAAAGAGGTATTTGGTCACCTACAAACAAGCAAGATTTGTGGCTCTCACAGACCTGTACCTTCTTCTTTAAGAGGCTCCTCTGTCCTGCACTCATTACCTGTATCAATGGCACCTGTTTGAACTTGTTATCAGTATAAAAGACACCTGTCCACAACCTCAAACAGTCACACTCCAAACTCCACTATGGTGAAGACTAAAGAGCTGTCGAAGGACACCAGAAACAAAATTGTAGACCTGCACCAGGCTGGGAAGACTGAATCTGCAATAGGCAAGCAGCTTGGTGTGAACAAATCAACTGTGGGAGCAATAATTAGAAAATGGAAGACATACAAGACCACTGATAATCTCCCCGATCTGGGGCTCCACGCAAGATCTCACCCCATGGGGTCAAAATGATCACAAGAATGGTGAGCAAAAATCCAGGACCACACGGGGGGACCTAGTGAATGACCTGCAGAGAGCTGGGACCAACGTGACAAAGGCTACCATCAGTAACACACTACGCCGCCAGGGACTCAGATCCTGCAATGCCAGATGTGTCTCTCTGCTTAAGCCAGTACATGTCCGGGCCGTCTGAAGTTTGCTAGAGAGCATTTGGATGATCCAGAAGAGGATTGGGAGAATATCATATGGTCAGATGAAACCAAAATAGAACTGTTTGGTAGAAACACAACTCGTTGTGTTTGGAGGAGAGAGAATGCGGAGTTGCATCCAAAGAATACCATACCTACTGTGAAGCATGGGGTGGAAACATGCTTTGGGGCTGTTTCTCCGCAAAGGGTCCAGGACGACTGATCCATGTACAGGACAGAATGAATGGGGCCATGTATCATGAGATTTTGAGTGCAAACCTCCTTCCATCAGCAAGGGCATTGAAGATGAAACGTGGCTGGGTCTTCCAACATGACAATGATCCCAAACATACGAAGGAGTGGCTTCGTAAGAAGCATTTCAAGGTCCTGGAGTGGCCTAGCCAGTCTCCAGATCTCAACCCCATAGAAAACCTTTGGAGGGAGTTGAAAGTCTGTGTTGCCCAGCACCAGCCCCAAAACATCACTGCTCTAGAGGAGATCTGCATGGAGGAATGGGCCAACATACCAGCAACAGTGTGTGCCAACCTTGTGAAGACTTACAGGAAACGTTTGACCTCTGTCATTGCCAACAAAGGATATATACGAAAGTATTGAGATGAACTTTTGATATTGACCAAATACTTATTTTCCACCATAATTTGCAAATAAATTCTTTCCAAATCAGCCAATGTGATTGTCTGGATTTTTTTTCTCATTTTGTCTCGCATAGTTGATGTCTACCTATGATGCCAATTATAGACCTCTCTCATCTTTTTAAGTGGGAGAACTTGCACAATTGGTGGCTGACTAAATACTTTTTTGCCCCACTGTATAATGAATTAACTAAACCTGATTAATGGATAAAAATATTGTATATATTCCATTGAACATCATCAGGTAAGTATAAGATAGAATGAACCTGATGGATTATATTAATAGATCATATATAATTAGTACCAATAAAATTATAATGGCATATAAAATTAAAAATGGTGAAAAAGTGTGTGGGAGTTGGTTGTTCAATGTAATCAGCATAGTGACAATACATATCATTTCATAATAAATACATACTAAATAATAAACATGTAAGATGTCCATCATAAAAAATTAATTAAATAAAATAAAATAACATCGCAAGGACTAAAAGGATAAGATCTGCACTACACAATAGAATAAGATACATAAGAAATCTGCATGATTACTAATGCTAATATTGTATACATAAAAAGTATATGTATAAAAGTATATTAAATACATATATAGATCAGAAAGATCATAAAAAGTCATAAAAGACCATAATAAATGTGAATATTAATGTAAACAAGGATAGCTCAAAAACGGGATCAGAATACATGTAAAAAATAAACACCAGCCAAATAAAATAGAAGCTGATGTAAAAAGTTAAAAAAACTGAAATAAAAGAGATGTGTTTAAAAATATCGGAATGGATAATGAGATGCTAACTATTGTCTATAAAACAGTTTATATCTACTTCCACGTTATGACCAGAGGGGGTT